ATTTTGTAGGTTGTCTTTTCACTTTATTGATAATATCCTTTGATGCACAAAAGTTTTTGATTTTGATGAAGTCCAATTCATCTATTTTTTCTTTTGTTGCTTATGTTTTTGGTGTCATATCTAAGAATCCATTGCCAAATCCAAGGTCATGAAGATTTACTCCACTGTTTTCTTCTAAGAGTTTTATGGTTTTAGCTCTCATAGTTAGGTCGTTGATCCATTTTGAATTAATTTTTTTGTGTGTTGTGTCAGGTGAGGGTCCCACTTCATTCTTTCACATGTGGATAGCACCATCTCTGTAGAGAGACTGTTCTCTTCCCATTGATTGGACTTGGCATATACCCATATTTTTGAACCTTTTTCACCTCTCCCTAGCATAGCTCTTCACTAGAGTCATTCTAATGCCTTTACCATATCTGGAACCTGCAGTGTTTATCAGTGTCTGCCTCTTCATTTTTTGCCCAGAATCCTTTTCTTCTTGTTAATGTTCTGATTTTTCCTAGTCCGCACTAATCTCTCCTTCTTCAGAACTCCTAAATTTGGAGCATTTAGTGCCATTCTTCTCATCCTCTTAGATAATAGTATAAGATAAGCACATTTCTGATTGGGTGGTTCGTAGGCCTCTGTCTGTTCTCCCCAGCTAGGGAATAGAACTCTGTGGGCGGGAATCAGGCCTGAACTTCTTTATCTCCCATAGTGTTACCCTGAGGAAGTACTAAGTAAATGAGTGAAACGTAGTTTTATGTGATTTATATCAGTAGATTGTCTTATTTTAAATGTAAATTCACTCTTATTTGGTCTTACTAAGTAGGGAGCTGCCTCTGCAGTATCTAAAATAGAATAAAAATAAGAATCCAGGTCTTTCAGTATGCTGAGGTCATCAGACACTCAGTGAACCTGACTTGGCATTTTGTTTTCCCTAGCTCTAAGGCATTGTGTGGTATGTTTGGAAAGTCTGAGGTTGGTCTAATAAAAAAACATATAGATGATGGAGAGAGAAAATCCCTTCAACCCTTTTTTGGGGAGTGTGACGGGAACATTTGATAAGGTCTTTAAAAACTGTATTTGCTAAACCAAATTAATGTTTCATTTAAAAGAAGTTGAGCTTTAGCCTATTTTTCATGAAACATGTAGGTCCCCACATGAGGCTTGTTTAGCATGTCATCTGTGTGACTGGCATAAGCTCATAGTCTCTCCACTGAGGAAAGCTGGGAGAAGTAGTCCCAGCACTTAATGCTGCCCCTGAGCTAATCCTGCTGGCTCCATGGTAAACATGGGCCTTTTAATAGACTGGAGACAAAGTGACATTCGGAAGAAACAACATGTCGACAATTTCCTTAATAAATTTTGTACGAACACATTATTTCCACCTAATGGAAATGTAGCTCTCTTAAATAATTGAGAGGCTGTATTCATCAGTGGTGAGTTCAGCTGGGATCTTTGTGAGCTAGGGCAGCCAACAACCCCTTGGAAAACAGGGTAATTGATATTTTACATAAGTGGCTTGACTAGTTTTCAGGTGGGCTCTGTGTGACATTCCCCTGCAGTCCCCATGCACAGCTCTCTTCTGTTGTCCAGGCTGTCACAAAGCAGCTCCACACTGAAGGTTCCAGTTGCAGCCACCGAACTGCCAAGACTAAGGGTTAGTAATTAATCCTTTTTAAAATGGGAGCCAGCTTGGTTGGTTTCCCCTTACTATGTCTGCTGACCAGCCACTGCATTAGCATAGGCCTTGATTTGAATGAGGAGAGATCATACTGAATGTTTAGCATGCAGCTCATTTTTATGTGCCAAAAGATAATAACGTGCTGAGAAAGCAACTACAGTGTTTGTAAAATGAATGATGAATGAATGAACTAGCAGTGAGGAAACAAGTCCTACAGGGGGTTGACAGGAGTCATGACTAAGCAAGAGACTTTGGTGTGGACTTGGAAGGAAAGGCAGGAATGCAATAAGGGAAAGAAGAATGCCGGGAAAACATGAAGGTAAAAAGTACACGTTACTCTTAGCACAGACAAGAAAATTGGACTTCCTATTTTTTGTGGTACCTTTCTGAGTTTTGTGGTTGTGTCAGAAGGCTTCTAGGCAATGAGTAGGCTCTTGGCCCTGCCAGCTATGTATCCAGGGTCGTTTCTCCCTCCTGAAGATTTTATAGTCTCCCCATGGATGGGAGGAGAGACTAGGAAAGCAAGGAGTTCCTGGTTGGGGAGAGGGGGCACTTTGTGCCTCATAGCAATTCACATTCTTTCCTTTGGCCTTGGTGTACTTCTTAAGGAACTGTGACCATATCACAGTGAAGGCTGAAGTTGTTTAATTACTTTTTTTTTTTTAATTTGCAGGTAGTTCCTGAAATGACTGAGCTGTTGAAGAAAAAATGAGTCGTGATCATGTCTTAAGAAAGGAAATTATGTCAAAGTATTCAGCTGAAATCATAGAAATTCATGGCTATTAATCATTAGAAAGCATGGAGAGCTACATTTCATAATATGAGGAAAAATTCTAACAGATGCCAGAATGCTTTTTTATGGGGATATTATTATGTTTCTTTTTAATAATTTGTGGTTCCAAACAATTATTTTTTGAAATTTTCTAATTCTGTAATAAAATATATAATAAAGCCTTTCCACAGCTTTATAACTACTACCAGAAATATGCCTAGCTTCATAAAGAGAGAGAGAAAATTGAAGAAAGGGAGTAAAAATTCATTTATTATTTTTTCTTTGCCTGTCTTTTTCATGGAGGACTGTTTTAGGCAAGATTGTAAACATGAATGTTCCCACCAGCCTAATCGACCTAATGTAGTTGTTGAGAGAAGAAGGGAAATAGATTGGCAAATTCAGAGTTAAAAAAGCATGGCTATAAAGCATTAATATTACCTTAAATATACTCCAGTCTTCAGAAAACCAAAGCTAAAGTGACAAAAGCAGCCCTGACTTAAACCTGAGCCTGCAAATATATTTAGTTGGTTTAGGTTAAATTTAATTTTCCATTTTAAGGTTTTATCTTACAGGACTTTGTGTCTATGAAGGAGAGAGGAGTAGAGAAGGAGGGGGCTGCTTTGAGACAGTGTGGCCTCTTATGTAAAAGATAGTTTGATAATATTATAAATGTTTAAAACCCTTCTCAGAGAATGCCCTGGCTTTTCTTTTGCCCTCCTGATGGCTTCCTTTGGGCTCTCTTAGAGAACAGCCAGACATGTGAGTCAGCCATACGTGTAGTAGGTCTAGGACTCTCACTGTGCTTCCCCAGGGCCCAGCTGAGGTCCAGAGTCTAACAGGCACTGGAAGCTGATGTGAGTGCAGGCACAAGCACAGAGGCTGGTAAGGCTGTGGCCAGGCCTTCAGGAAGGTGTGGGCAGGTATTGAGATTATAGAAAGACCAGGAGTCAGAGGTGAGTGAATGAAGAGAACTGCCACCCTGGAGCAGATTTGCAGAAGTTATAGTGGGTAACGGGACAAGGAAAACAGCAAGGAAGAGATGGGGAATGACCAGTGATACAAAAGGGGATGGGGTAGAAGGGCCAGCCAGTCCCTTTGTGTGGCCAGCCTGGGGCTGCCTAGTTGAACCCTTTTTGATTTGTGTCATAATCACTTGCTCTGAAACACTTTTAGAAGTTAAATGCCTCTGACATTTCAACCTTTTTTTTTTTTTAAAGATTGGCACCTGCGCTAACAACTGTTGCAAATCTTTTTTTTTTTAATTCTTCTCCCCAAAGCCCCCTAGTACATAGTTGTAGATTCTAGTTGTGAGTACCTCTGGTTCTGCGATATGGGACACCACCTCATTGTGGCCTGATGAGCGGTGCCATGTCCATGCCCAGGATCCGAACCGGCAAAACTCCAGACTGCCGAAGCAGAGTGCACGAACTTAACCACTTGGCCACAGGGCCAGCCCCTCAACCTTCTTTAAATAAGGTGAGAAGAGAGCAGTAAAATGATGGTCTGTATTAGAACTATAGAATTCTAGAATGTCAGAGCTGAGTGATCATCTGGTTCAGCCCCCTTGCACAGATATGAATACTGAGGCACAGAGAAGAAGTGAAGAAGGTAAAGTGACTTGTTGAATCACCCTTGTGAAAATAATTCCCATATCTTGTTGCTTACTTTGAGGTTCTTCCCAAGGGAGCTAACCTTGCTTAGGGCCTTCTGCATTTACCTCTTATCCCTGTTGGACACTGTAACTGGGGGACAAGAGAGACAGCAAAGTGACAGCTGCAGAGGTGCCCCCAGGATAGGGTGTGCTGGCTCAAGGAGGACCATCTCAGGTGGTACCTTTGCCTGATTCCTTGCCTCAGAGTTGAACTGGTTGGTCTCTTCCTTTTGTTCCCTTCTATCACAACTGCCCTCCCCCAGCTCCAGGCAGCTGGTCACTTAACGTTTACTGGGTACAAGTCCTCATCATTGTAACAGCGTACTATATGTCAGGCACCATTCTAACACTTTCCACATATTAAACCCCTTCAGGTCTCACAACACCCTGTTAGATGCTACTATTATCCCTATTTTACAGATGAGGAAGCTGAGGCACAGAGATTATATAATTTGCCCACATTCAGACAGCTTATAAATGAAAGCCAGGATTTGAAACTAGAAAGTCTGGCTTCAGAATGGTGGCTTCATCAGTATATGCTCCTGCCTCACCTTGGCTCACAGAACAGGGAGACTTGCTGCACAGTTACCTCAGGTGAAGAGCACACATTCAGGATCCTAGTTGAGGAGGAGAGATGGTGTTCTGGGCTTGTCTCTCCAGCAGAATTTTATTCAACTTAAAAGCCCCTCTGAGGGGCCAGCCTGGTGGTGCAGCGGTTAAGTTCGCACGTTCCGCTTCTCGGCGGCCCGGGGTTCGCCAGTTCAGATCCCGGGTGCAGACATGGCACCGCTTGGCAAGCCATGCTGTGGTAGGCGTCCCACATATAAAGTGGAGGAAGATGGGCACGGATGTTAGCTCAGGGCCAGTCTTCCTCAGCAAAAAGAGGAGGATTGGCAGCAGTTAGCTCAGGGCTAATCTTCCTCGAAAAGAAAAAAGCCCCTCTGAGTACCCACTTAGAGTTTACCTTAAAAAGGCAGTTGTGTGCAGTTGGGGCAAATTGTTGAAACTATTACTGTATATGCCAGAAGGTGCAGTATGTGTGCTCTTTTTATCCCTATGTTTTATTGGAAACCAAGCTGGCAGTTCCTACTAACTCTGCCCCTGCATCTCCAGAGCAATAGCTCTGGAAGCAGTGTAGGGGAAAAGTGTTAGGAGTAGCTTTTGTGTATGTGTGTATGTCCTGCCTTTCTCCCTAATTTTTTTGAAGTCTTTAGTTAACCTTATACCACCTCTGGGAATTCAGTAGCTTGGTTACTTTGGCAGAACACAGAGTCCCTGAGAGGACAGAATAAGTATATAGAAAGGCAGCAAGAGCTGAATAGGTCCTTGATGCCATCTAGGTGGAGCACAGGACCTCTGTACTGTATGGACTGAGGCCCAGTGAGGGTCCTGGTCTCAGCTTTTCAGTAGTTGAGAAAGCACAGAATCCAGCTTTTCTTTCAGCTGGTCCATGCTTTCTCAGTAGCACTGTGGGGAATATTCCCTGCTTGGTTTCCTGGCTCACCAGCTGTTCTGTGAGGGACTCTGGACCAAGTAAAAACGTAGAAGAGTCTGGCCAGCCACTATTCCTATGCAGCTTGTGGTCCTGACAGGGAGAACAGCATCCTGCTAGGAGGCACAGCCCCAACCCTCAAGATTTTACAGCTACCAGGAAAGATGAGGTGAGACACAAATGATTAGAAAAGCAGACAGCATATACACAGAGGGCTCCCTCAGTTGGCGAGATATGGTCATTCCTTGGGAGTGGAAGCTTTGATATTAGCCTGTGAGGCGGAAGTAGAAACTGAGATCAGGGCTCATGGGGGTCAGGAAAGGGGTTAAGGGTGATAGGTAGTTGAGGCCAGATTGTGGAGGACATTGACAGACTGAGGAGTTTGACCTTTTTCCTTATAGGTCAGTGGTTCTCAAACTACCCTCAAGGATTGCTGCCACTTAGGGACTGGACCAGGGTTGGTACTGTGAAAGGTATATCATAGTCTTTCTGATTTGCAGGAAAAATTAACCTATAGAATTTTCCCAATCTTAAGTCTGCCATATTTTTTTCTAAAATTTTGGTGGCTGCTACCCCTTGTCTTAGGAATGTAAGCAGATTCCAAAGTGAATGGACAAGTAGCAAATAAATATTAACTAAGGAGGTCAGCAGCCGCTGACCCTCCACAGCTTTCGTTAAGTGGACATGTGTTGAATACTTAGGCGTAGTCTCTGCTAGTTGGTAATTGTTACTTGTTTGTATGTTAGAATTAAAAATGTCAGTATATCAAGAATTTTCCACAAAGAGCTGCATGACTTCCTGAGGTCCTGCCACCTGAACAAGTCTTAAGTAGCACCATCCTGGCAACAGGAGCCATTGACATTTTTTGAGGAAGGCCCATTAGCTTACCTAGAGGAATAACCTAACCTGGCAATGTATTCATGATGGATGGAGGGAGGAGAAGATGGAAGCGATTAGGAGGCTGTTGCAGGAATCATCTGGCTTTATGCTCCGGCTGGGTTTGGCTGAAAGCTCTTTGGTTACAGAATGGGTCCCCAAAGACTGGAAATGGCTCCAGTGCTGTGGGCAAAGCTAGCAGAGAGTGGGACTCTTCCTCAGGTTAGTGTGGGAGCCGTGCTGCTGGCAGAGCCTGGGCGTGTCTGTACTGGGCGGGAGGGCTTGAAACATCAGCCATGAGTGCTGTCTTTCTGAAAGGAATGGTCAGCTTGGTTGCATTTCACACTCTCACGAGAGGTTTTTGTTTTGGTCTACATAAAAGTGGGCTTAAGAGACTGGGAGACCTGGAGAACACTATTGATCATAACAGGTGGATTCAGTTAGCTGTTGCTGAGCTAAAGGAGGCTTGACTGATAACCTTTTAAAAAGCCCATACAATGTGATATACTGCCACAATTTCGTATAGCCCTAGGTTTTTAAAAAATATTTTGTGGGGAACCCAAATGAAGAAGGATTGCTGATAATCCTTGGCTTATAAGGCATTTTCATGTAAGTTACCCCATCAGAGGTGGAAAGGGTAGGAACAGTGAAGAAATCAGACCCTCAGGAGAGAAGGTGATTTGCCCCAGGTCATAACACAAATGGTAGAACTGGAACACAAACCAGAATTTTTGGTAAATATTACTTATTAAGAACCTACTAGGTATATTATATGCCCTCTAAGACAACAGTGTCCAAAGTGGGTGTCATTGCCTCTGCTTTCTGGAGGAAGAAAAGGGCTGAGAGGCAACTGACCAGAGGCAGTCATGAGATGTGGAACCTGAAGTGGACTCCAAATCTGGAGAACTTGGCCTTTCCACTGTACCAGGCTGCCTCCCAGCATCTTCCAGCTTCTTCAGGACTCTATCCTCTGGTTTATATTGCCTCAAAACAGCAAGCTTTTTGAAAGAAGCATGGGACAGTGATGGAGTTAGGAATTTATTGGGAAGTAAGCTGGGGTTTCCTTTCTGTGGTGTCCAGATTGGTGAGCGGTCAGGCATTGGTAAGGCTTTACTTGTCTGGGCTTCACCATCTCTGCCTCCCACAATTGGTCATGTGGTTAAAAGCAGGTTGCCGCTGCCTTTTTATGGACTCACCTCCAGCTTGGAGGGCTGTTTCCCTTCCCAGTATGGGGCTACATGAGGGATATGGCAGTCAAGGACCTGGGGACCACAGGGAGGGCTGAGCACTGAGTGGGCAGGTCACAGGAACAGTTGGGTCTTTGTCCTGGTTCTGTTAATGTCTCAGAGGCACCCTGGTCACATTCCTTCTCCCTTTAGGCTTCATTTTCATCATCTGTAAAATGGTAAATTGAACTCAGTAATCTTTCAAGATATCTTCAAACTTTAATCTGTGACTATGTTGGCAGATCTCAAACTGGGTAGGTAGATGGAGACAATAATAACCATTTTGAGGGTTTTTTGTACTCAAGGTGCTGTGCTGAGCCCTTTGCTCATTTAAGCCTTATAACCCTGCAAGGTCTTACTATTATTCCCCACTCTCCAGATGAGAAAACTGAAGCCTACAGAGCTTAAAACACTTGCCCAAGGATTCACAACTAGTCAATGATGACCTTAGGCCAAAGTCTACCCTCAACCACATGCCATATCCTGAGTCCCTCGATGGAAGCACAGAGTACATACCTAATCCAGCCTGGTTGGGGCAGGCTGAAGTGGAGGGGAGCAAGGTGAGCCAGCTGAGCCTAGTTCAGAAGGAGCAGTCAAAATTAACCAGTGAATAAGTGCATCTCAAGCAGAAGGCACAGAAGCACCAAGAACATGACAAACCCTGGACCCCAATCCCTGAGTCCCCTCCTAGCCTGACAACTCCTCCATTCTGAACCACTCTTTGCTCAAGGAAGCAGGGACCTTTGTACTCAAATCTGGATCTGATCTGCACACTGGCTATCTTTTGTGGCATTTAGCAAAGCCCAGGTCCCAGAACTCCATGCCCCTTCTTTCTGCACTGGATGTGGAGGTGAGCCTACCTAGTTAAGAGGCCTAATTGATGTTGAGGAGCTCCTGGAGTGCTTGGTGAAAGATGCCCCGTAAATCTCAGACACTGAAGAATTCTGCCACATTCATCACAGTGTTTAATGTCCTGATTGATCTCCAGGGTAGTCAATTTCATTTGCTTGTTTCAGGATGAATAGGCAGGCTGCTCCCCTATGCTGTAGGCTAGGGCTCTGCATAAAATTATGCCAGCGCTGTCTCTTTGGTAGCTTGCAATAAATTTTAGAAGCAAATGTTCCATCATTTTCTTTGGGTAATTAACTATTCACCGGGAGACAATATCAAGCTTTTCAGCACTGGAGCCAAGAAAAAACTCCAAAGTAGTTATGAATTCCTTGGCTTATGCTGGAAAAGGGAGAGGAAGGCAGATAAGGTGCCTGCTATCTGGGGACCAACAGTGTTCTCTTATCTAACTCAAGATGACTCCAGGACATTATTTACAGGGGAACCAATTGGGATATGTGAGCAGGGATGAGGTCACGAGGGACAGTGCCTGGGCTGGCTATTGGGGTTGGAGGCGGGGCACATATCCCCTCAGCTTCTCAGTACCCATATACCCCACTACCACCCTCCCCACACAAAACTATCAGCAGCAGCAAATGAAATAACTGAGCATCTCCTGGGCAGCCTTCCCCAAAAGTGCTGAATGTGGGCAGGCAGTGAAATACCCCAGGCATCTATTATTAATAAGGATGGTTTCTGTTTGTGTCTCCCTTGAAACATTCTCAAAGGGCTTTTCCTTCCATTATGTCATTAGCTAGCTATCTATCTCAGCAACCTTCACGGGGGTGGAGGGTCCAGGAGGTATTATTTCTGTTATGCAGGGGGAGGAAGTGGGTCCAAGGATTAGCAAACCAGAAACAGGGCTGGGCTGAGAATCCAGGTACCTGGGCTTTGACACACCCTGAGGTGGAGGGTGGAGGTGGCGATTCAGACTTCTCTCCAACCCTGAGATGTCTATTTAAAACCTGGGTTAGCTCAGGTTGTTGGGTGTCCTTGTCAAGCAACTCTACACGAGTGTCCTGATGACTTGTCAGTAAGATGCTCCCCTTGTAAGAAGCCTTCCTTGGACCTTATCTCATTTGAGGCTCTCAACAGCCCCCCTGCTCTCAGTCTTTCTCTTTTGAGATGAGGAAATCTCACCAGAGAGGAGTGTGGAGGCAGCACCAGGACACGTGCTTCAGTCAAGAGCTGTCTTGGAGTGAGAAAGGAGTTCCTGAGCTGAGGGTCATGAATGGAATGAACACCAGCCACACCAAAGAGAATTCTAAGCCACTAGCCTCTAATCATGCAGGGTCTGTGAAAAAGCCCACAGTCTGTGTGATTTGATCTGAAAAGCCAAGGTTTGGGTTGGAGGTTTTACCCAGGGCTGGATGCAGAGGGGCCACTTGTGTCATTCAGGAAAGACGTTACAGTCCTAGACAGACTTTGGGTCAGGCCTGCAGAGCTCTGGCCTGGCTCCCCTGTGGGCCGGCTACTAGCACTGCTGGATCTGAGCCTCGTTGTCCTTGCTGCCAGGTTTGGCATGTCAGGGTGGCACCCTGGCCACAGGATTAGCTCCTTTCCAGCTCCAGCAGCAAGGCTGAGCAGGGAGGCTGGCCCTATAGGAGGGGCCTCGGGACTCTGCAGAGAGGATGGGCTGGTCTCTCCAGCCTGAAGGGCTGTATGAGCTGATGGATGGCAACTGCCTGGGGGCTGGAGTCCTGATTTCTCTCTCCGGCTCCTGATAACACCTGGTTTAATTCCAGGCAGCTCATTTCAGCATATCCAGTATGACATCTAACCCAGACAGACCTGGGTTTGAATCCTGCCACTAGTTTACTAGTTAGCTGTGTGCCCTTGGGCAAGTCATTTAATTAGTCATTCTGTGCCTGTTTTCTCCTCCGTAAAGCAGGGAAAATAGCACCCACTTTGCAGGGCTGTAACACAGAAGGAAGATTGCAAAAGGGCACCTGTCACAACAGGAAATGAATAAATGGGAGCCATCACTGTTATCACCCTCTTGTTGGCTTATAGGAGACAGTGACTTGTTACCCAGAGCCTCCTCCCTTCTGGGAGAGCACCAGAGCCAGCTCTCTGAAAGGGTGGACGAGCAAGGAGAAGCCATTTCCCAGAGCCGCAAACCTCCCAGGGAGTACTGGGCTCCATCTCCACCGGCCCCAAGCTGCCCGCCAGCCAGGACTCTGGGTTATGGCACCCAAGGGAGCCCTAAGAGCCAAAGCTTTGGCTCTCTACCTCCTGCACTCCAGGCCTCAGAGCCTCTGCCCCACACCTATCCCAGGCAGGTAAGTGGCTTCCTCTGCGTGTAACCTCTAATGTTGTGACTGTGGACTCTATCCTCGGAGAGGCGAGGACGACCTCTTGATACCTGTCACTAGTCTTAATCTCCTCATGCAGCAGTTCTAACACCTGTTCAAGGATGAAGGCAACAGTGAGTGTGCAGGCAAAATTTCACTTCACAGCAATTTGTAAATACCCTAAGAAATCACCTTTTACAAGTAGAGCTATTCTGTAGACCCCATTTCTAGATAGGGAAACTGAAGCAGAGAGCAGGAGCCACTTGCCTAGCATCTTACCCCACTGCTCTCCTTTCTGTCCTATGGTTTTCTCTGGAGTAGAAGTCTGCAGCAGAGGCAAGTGCTGGCTAACAGCTGGGTCTCACTTCTGGTGCAGGACAGGCTCATTTACCTGTTGGAGTAGCCACCATTAGCCCAAGAGCAGAGGCGAGGGAAGCTTGGCAAAGAGGGTGTCACAGGGCCTGGCCAAGGACGGTAGGTGTTTCTAGTCCAGCAGATGCAGGCTGCTAATTACAGACCTAGCTGGCACCTGCCCTAGAGATTATAAATCATATTATGCCCTTCAGCCCATCACATGACAAAAGCCAAGAGTGACCACTTTGCCTCCAAAAGCTCTAAAACCTCAGAGCCCCAGCACCTAGCACACTGCCAAGTGGATTTGGACCCCAATTTCAGTGCTTCTCTTGTCAGTGTTCCACCTCAGGAAAGTTTCTTAAACCTCTCTGAGCCTCAGGTTCTTCATCTGTAAAATGGGGCTAGTGATACCCACCTCACAGAGTCGTCTGAAGGGCTAAAGCACCCCACGTGTGTAGAGGCCTTGGTAGAGTGCTCAGTGATGAGGATTATTTTGGGCTGGTTACTTTTAAAAACTGCAGATGGGAAGGAGGCTCTGAGGAGTGGAATTTGCTTGCCCTTTGATGAGAGACATTTGCATTTGTGAAGGAAGTCTCCATCTGTGGGGGTGTCTCCCTCTCTGCACCAGGAGGAAGGAGGGATGACCTTATCTCTAGACACTCTTAATGGGGACGGCAAGGACTTAAGTCTGCATAATAATCTTGCTCTTGTTTACTGTCTGGTAACCTCATGTAACTGACCCCCGCCTACCACCAACATCCTCCTTTGTCTTTAGCTGAAGATAATATTTAAGGTGGTGGCTTCATCCATTTACTTAATCCGATCTGATTCTTATCTAAAAGTTATAGGACCACCCAATAACCAGACCCCACCTGCACTGATACCATTTTAATGACTTTTTTTTTACATATTCTTTCCTTTGTCTTGTAAAGAGATAACTCACATACCTATGCCTTAAATTTAGCCCTACCCTCAACCCATGTTGGCAGCAGCTCTTTACTGCCCATGGGTCCTGTCCCTATGCTATTCTCTAAATAAAAGAGCACTAATGCCAGACCTTGAGAGTCCAAGAAAATCTTTCTTTCGACTCCTCGGCTCACCGAGCCCGCATCACTCAGTAATAGAAGCTGTAATTATGCTGTTGGTGACCCAGAATGCCTCAGATTACATCTCCAAAACAGCTCAGTTGGACACTGCTGCCTTTAACACCTTTTTTGACAACTGCTTATCTCCCCATGAATCAGAAGGGTGCTCTTTGCTGGCATATAATTTCCCTCCCTTTTTCCAATTCAGCCATCTTTCCCAAGTGACCCTGTGCCCAAGCCTGTGGCCTTATGCAGGGTTCTGAGGTTCTAATGGGACCCAGGCCTGATCCCTGCTCCTGCGGACCAATGGGAGGCAGGCAGGGAAGCAGATGGGCTGACCAAGCCATGGGATCACTACTGTCAGGGTGAGTCCACAGGGCCAGGAGCCCTGAGGACATCCTGACCTACTAGTGAGGGACCAGTGAGACACACAGTGAGAACAACCCAGAGAAAGAACAGGTCAGGAGGGCAGCTGGCAGGCAGGCCAGCTCGCGAAGGGGCTGTGACCACACTGAGACGTTCAGTTGAGGCAACAGGAACCCTTAATTAATCGTCTTCTCCCTTTTTTGGACAAAACAAAACATAGTGGTTATAAACACAAAATCCCTTGGAGGCTTGTCAGCAAGGGAGACACAGCAGGTTTAGCAGCCTGGGAGGACACACTCAAGGGTGGAACCAGAGGCTGGGTCTGGAGCAGGTGATTTGCAGGGCAGAATGGCCAGGATTCATTACTGCTTGTGGGGGATCAGGAGGGAGCCAATGATGTTGATGCCACATACACTCAAAGCTGGGTGGATGCTGGTGCCCCAGCTGGGAACCTGGAGGAAGAGCAGGCTTCAGGCAAGATACTGCGCTCAACTTTGGACCTGCTGAGCTCAAGGTCCCTGACAGATGGAGCCCTGGGTCAGGAAGCTGGGTCTGGGAGTTGTCAGCAAGGAAGGCAGAATTCTGAGCTCCCTTTTGGTGGGGAGCTGAGGGAGGGGAAGGGACTGGTCCACAGTCACAGAGCCAGGCAGTGTGAGAGCTTCCTGCCTGGGGTCCAGGGCTCCTTCTATGCTGCAAGGCCTCAGGTCTGCCAGGGAGGGATTGAAGCTACCCGGGTGGGTTTTCACCACATCATCCCAAACCCCAAAAAGCCACTTGGGGATTCTTCACCTGGGCTAGCAACCAAGGAGAACCTCTGCCAACTGGAAGTCTCAGTGCAGCTGGTTTTTATTATTAAAGCCAAGATTGGAAAATGGCTGTCCCCCCACCCCCATGATCCTCCCACCCACCTCCAGATCCATCCCTTTATGTCCTGTGAAGGTGAAAACTATTTATCTTGAAAAGACTCAGAAAAGCTCATGCTGAAATCAGAGAATGAGAATGAAACAGGCTCAGATGGTGGTCTTTGTGTGGTTGTGTTGGCTCCACCCAGGATTCCTGGAAAAGACAGCTTGGGGGGTGGGGGAAGGCTGGAGCCCCTGCTCACAGTGCTGTTCCCTAGGGTCCGGGGTGGGCGTCAGGAACAAAGGCAACGGAAGAGGCTGAGCTGGCCCCTGCGCTCTACCCTGCTAAAGCTGGGCCACAAGCTGGTTTTTATAAAAATGATTAAAAAACCCCAGCCATGAGCACCACCCTCCCCCGAGCAGGGCCAGAGGAGGCACCAGCTCTGGGCTTTGAGGTCTGAGGCATGTGGCCTCTTGGCCTAGTGTCACCTCCCTGGAGGCAGGCAGCACCCTGAGGGAGGCCAGGTGGGCTCCTGGGACCCAAGTGTGGCCCTTGTTGGCCTCTGGGGCACCGGGAGAGCTTCGAGATGGCTGTCTGCCCTCCTCCTACCCAGCCTGCCTGGAGGCTTTAGGTTTCAGGGACCCTGTGCAACTTCTGCTCTTTGGATTCCAAAGATCTGAATTTCTCCTCCAGCATGGGCACAGCAGGCTGGAAGTGGATGACAGGCTTGATCTGAAAGACAGTAAAGCCCTCCTGATTCTTCTGGTTGAATAGACTTACCCTGTGCTCCAGCTCAGGGCTGGTTTGGGCCGAGCCCACTGGGCTGGGCCAGGAGACAGGGGCTGGGTCCAAGGCCCTCTGGGATGGGCAGGGGTCCTCCGACAGGGAGGATAGCAGGTCCTGGACTGTGGCCTCCACCATCTGCTGCTGGGGTGGTGGCAGCAGTGGCAGGGGAGAGGGGCTGGGCTTGGAGGATGGCTCCTCTCGGGTAGTGCTGCAGTCTGTGGAGGAGCCCAATGTCTGGCTGCTGTCACTCTGGGCCCAGGTGACAGAGCTACAAGTAGAGCGGGAAATGTTTTCAGAGGTGGCACTGGCGCAGGTACCATTGCTGCTGAGCTTCAGGGGCACGTCAACGGAGAAGAGGTCAGAGGAGATGTTGGGCTGGTGAATGTCTATGGCAGCTGTGGTGACCACGCACACCGCTGGCTCTGGGACACCACTGTCTGCAAGAAAGGAGGGGATGCCAGTCACACTTCACCTCTGCTACACCTCTGTGGACCCTCCATGAGGGCGGGTCTGAGCTGAACCTGGTCTAGGAGCAGAGCTGGACAGCAGGCAGTAAGCATGAATGGGTTTTGTTAGGGCGGGGGCTTGAAGGTTCAGTTCTCCAGTATTTACTGTCCTGTCCTGCGGGGGGGGGGGGCGGGACGATGCCTCCCTGTCTTGTTGACCGCAAGTGTGGACATGTGACATGCCTTGGCCAATCATCTGTGAGAACTGACCCATGCATTTCCCAGTAGAAGCTATATAAAACAGTGATGCTTTGCACCCTGGCAGTCAACAGTGTTCTACAATACATGGTAGCTGTTCTGCTAGAGTAAAGATGACAACCAGGGAGCAGAGCCACGAGTCAATCTGCCATGGGTGTTTGTCGATTCATTTAAAACACTGAGACGTGGGGTTATTTGCCACTGCAGCATAACCTAGTCTGTCCTGACTAACTCAGAAAGCATGGTGTGCTAGGACAAGGAATTTGGGCTTCATGGTCGGAGGGAATCATTCAAACTTTTCAGTGGGACCGATGTGGGAGTGACATGACCAGAGCTGTGCCTTCAGAAGACTGATTAATCTCTGTAGAATGCATTGCAGGGGGAGCATGAAGGACACTTCAGAAGGTCTTTAAGTGAGAAGTATCAAGGGGCCAAGTTACAATGGGTGTAGTAATGGGCAAGGTCTCTCCCCAAAGTTGTGGGGATAGTGGAGTGGAGGAGAGGTCTCAGCTAGAGATGGTAGTCTTTGAAATCAGCAGATTGGATGAGTCTTTGAAACAGGAGAGAGAAGAAGGAAGAGGCCTTTAGGGGGCTAAATTGTGGGAAAAAAAAATTCAAATGCATTATACATTTTACACAACACAACACAACACAACATTCTAGCCTTATAATGGAGTATTCAAAGATTTAAGGGCTATGAAATCCTAACTAAAAGATGCAAGACATTGGCTAAGGAGAAACAAGACACTGGTATTATTTTAAAACTCAACGTTTCCCATAAGTGAAAACCACTAGGTTCCCTGAGACTTTTTCAAGTGCAAGAATGAAAGAAATCAAGCGAGGACATGCCCAAAGCCTCTTGCATCTCAAGCCCAATTATGCTGTTATCTCAGCTCCATCCTGTTCATCCTGAAAGGTTCTCAGGTTGGGAGGTGCTAAGGTCACATAGATTTCTAGATTTCAGCTCCCTTTTTATTTCAGGGCCCCACATGCAGCCCAGAGCACTCCACCCCAGCATCCACAGCTCCAGCGCTGGAGTTTCCTGGGAGCTAAAGCTCCAGGTATTTGAGCCTTGAATTCTGCCTCCATGTCAGAGGGCACGCCAGGCTGAGCTGTTCCTACTCTCAGTGTTAGGGGTTGCCAGGGTCACATCTGACATGGGGCTGCACAGAGGTTCTGGTACATGCAGAAGAGCCCCCAACGCAGACTCACCACTGCTGGGCCCATTGTAGTACTGACTGATGTAGCTGTTCATGTCGTCTTTAACCACGGCTTCTACAGAGGTGGGGACAGAGAAGGGTGAGTATGATGGCTTGCCAGATAGTCCAAGAGGCAGGGGCCGTGGGCAGTAGGTGCTCCTCCCCCAGTCCTCCTGTCTCCATCCCCATCACCAGGAGAGGAGGCACTTGTCTCCCAGAAGCTCTCTGCTGCTTTCTAATCCTCCACGGGGACCACATGTCTCATTTGCCCCACGGCTGGGCTGGACTGGGTATCAGGGACCCTGGTTCTGATGAAGCATCTAGCTTGATATGTGACATGGACAGGGCCCTTTCCTTCTCTGTCTTCAGTTTCCCCATCTCTGAGATGCAGGGTGTAGAAATAGTTCCTCAGGGCTTTCTCTGCATGAATGGCCTGAGTCTGTGAATCCACTTGAGGTTCTCAGGGTCACCAGAAATGCTGTCCTCAGTGCAAAAAGCCTCAAAGCCCCATTTGCAGACACACACAGCCAGCTGCAGAGGCTGATTGTTGGCTCAGTCCATCTGAGGACTGTCTTCCATGCAGTACAGGAATGACCCGGGGGGCTGGGCATCCCCACCACCTACACAATGCTAGCATACGGTAGGTGCTCAGTAAATAGTTATTGAATGAATAATGAATGAGAGGGTGTAAAGCTGTCCAGGTCAAGAAAGATGACATGGGAAGAAGGTCTCAAAGAAAAATTGGTTCATTGTCCTCAAGGAAGTTGGGAAGGAATGGGAGAAAGGAGAGGTGAGAAATTGAGTGGCCTGAGAATGGGAGAAAAAGCAGATGACAGGAGACCCCAAAAGCCATCCTAAGGAGGTTGGCCTTGTCCCAAGGGCAGTGAGGAACCACAGGAAAGTTTGAACACGGTCAGGTGTGAGTCACTCCGAAGGTTGTGGGGAGAGTGGTTGAGAGGGTGCCAACCTTTAGGCAGGGAAGCCAGAGACTGCAATGTTCAGGTGAGGGATGACAGGCCCTGGAGGGTGGGTGGTACCTGATGGGACAGAAGGAAGGGATGAGGGTCAAGTGATAATTAGGAGGGACCTGGCAGGCACTGGAGAATGACAGGAGGAGGTCCCTTGGCTCAGTTTGGCAACTTGTCAGACTAGCTCAGGGGTTGCTTCTTCAGCAACTGTGGCATCCCTGAGGTCCTGGGGTCCTGGGGGGGGGGGGGGGGCGGTATCAGAATCAGACTTGGTTTCAAACCTCAACTCCACCATATATTAGCTAAATGGCCCTCTCTGAGCCTTTGTCCCCTTGTCTGTCAAATGGGTATAATGATACCTACTCTCCAAAGTTGATAAGGAGATGAAACAAGCTAGGGACGTCAGATTCCTGGAGTGGGGTCAGGCACATGGAGCCCTTTAACGCATGAGCGTCTGGGCCTTCTTCTCCTGTGGAAGTTTGAGGGAGCCCACACCCCTGGGGGCTGATCCAAGGAGCCATGGTCTGCAGGTGACTGGACCCCAGGCTTTCTGTGGTCGCCTTCCCTGGCACATCTGAGATTGCTCATTGCTGGGGAAGTCAATCTTCCCTGACACTGGGAGGCCTGGGAAGCACACACAGAGTACCTGGCTCTGAAAAGGGTTTTTTGGCCTCTTTTGATCTTTAAATGCCTGCTGTCAGAGGTGTGTTTTGCGTTAATGCCTGAGCTGAGGGAGGGTCCCCAGACTGGCTCCAGGATCAGCTGGCAACACTCTCTCAGAATCAGACAGCAACACGTTTCTCCGTGGCCTTCATAATTTGGGTTGTAAATGCTGTCTAGCCCTGCAGGAAGTGAGAGGTGGCTGGTGTGGCCGCTCCCGGCAAGCAGTGCAAAGTGGTGGGCCACTGGGCCCACTAGGCCACACAGGAGGTTCTGGTCACTTATCTTGGTTTTATCCTGAGGCCAAGACTGCAAGGACCTGTGACATGGCTACAGAGGGCCACATGACATGGGCAGGACTATGAACTCAGGTATCCACAGACTTATGAAACTTTATCCCAAGGGAGCTACTTGCAAGAAGTGGCCTGGGATGAATGACAAAAACCGACACCCTGGGTTCTCGTCCTGGTGCTGCCACTGGCCCACCATGGGAGCTTGAGGAGGTCATATCTCCACTCTGGGCTGCAGTTTCTTCATCTGTACCAAGAGGGACCTGGTGAGGCTCTTAGAGATTGTGACATGGTTGGGCTAGATGGCTCCCAACACTTCTGCCAGCTCTGAAGTTCCAAGAAGTGAGAGCCAGAGCAGAGTGGGAAGGGACCCGAGGCATCTGGGCTATCCCCTAACTCCCAGTGCAGGAATCACCTCAACACCTGCCTGATGGGGCCTCTCCCAACCACGGCCTGCACATCTCAGGGAAGGAATCTCCTAGATCTTTGTTGAGCAGCTCTGATAATCAGCTGTGGCAACTTCTCATTCATTTATGTTCAATAGGATCAGTGTGCCTGATCCTCTGTGGGGTATTGAGGCCAGAAGTCCCTACCCCTAAGGCACACAGTCAGGGCCTCCCCAGGACATCCATTTCTTGGTCAGGCAGCCAATCTCCATTTAATCAGGAGGCGTCTACTATGTGCAAGCCTTGCAGATCCTGGTTCTGCCTTCCTTAGGTACCAAGGCTAAGCCCATTTCTACTCACAATCTATATGACACACCTTCCAACACTTAAAAAGCCCTCACATCCCTGAGAAGTCGCTTCTCCTGAGAAACCACTGTCCATTTTCCACCTCTCCCCAGTTTTCCAGCCTTTCCACTCTGAAGTGTTCACTATGGGCTCCAGATGTGACCAAAATGTGGGGAGAAGGTGGAGGGAGGGAGCTGGCATTTACTGTGCCCTTCAAAGCTCCAGACCGCAGGTTAGGCATTTCACACACTGATCTCCTTTAATCCTCACCACTGCCCTGCAAGCCTGGGATTATTTAATAGACGGGTCCTTCCCAAGATCTGGCGTGATCACTCCCCTAATGCAGCCTAACATCCACCAAGTGGGTTTAGCAATCGTGCTGCTCTGCTGACTCATGAGCTTGTGGCCAACAGAGACGCCCAGGTCTTCTCTGCAGGAGCTGGGGCCAGGCCAGGCCTTTACCACGCTGTAGTTGTGTAACCCCTATTGGGGACTTCACATTTATCATCCAGGCAAATGACAGCTTGTTGGTTTCAGCCCACAGATGCAGCATACTAAAAGCAATATGAATCTTGAGTCAGTCTACTAAGGTATTAGATCTGTCTCCTAACTCAGTGTTGACTATTTATTTGAGAATGCTCACATCTTCATCTAAGCTGTTGATAAAAATAACCTAGATGACCTTTAGACCAAACATCCCTCCTGAGCTGCTGACTGTTTTGGCCAACTGGACAACTTCTCCTGGATGAGCTCCAGCTACTCTGACTCAACATGTCCAAAATAGAACTTGGTTTCTCCCTCCGTCTTGGTGAATGGTTCCCTTGCCCATCTAGGCTGGGACCCGGGTCATTTCTCAGTGCTTCCTCTCTTTCCTTACCAACAACCCGATTCCTACCAAGTCTGTGACCAGCTGAGGGATCCCTGATGCCCTCTGCTTTGGCCCTGTAGTCCAGCCTTAGGTCAGACCTCATGCTTTCCCCTTTGGACTTTTGTTGCGCCTATGGGTTAAATGAATGGGATTCCTTGCTCCATGGATATGCCTGACACAGAACCTAGGTCCCTAGGTGGCCACTAGAGGTCTGTCCAGTCTGCATTTGCTCCTTCTACTCCAAATCTGTCCTCATACAGGGGCCTCAGAGTGAGCTTTAAGACATAAGTCTGAAAGTAAGGCCTGCTCAGATTTCTCTAGCAGTGCTGACACTGGTTCTTGCCTGCTCTCTGCTTCAGGCAGGCCTTCTTCTCCAGAACTGAGCACTTGGGCTGGGGTTCTGTCTCCACCTACACAGAGGCCTAAGAGCCTTTGAGGGCACATTTTACTCAGAGTCTCCCCAGCACTTAGCACGGGACTTGGCATATGCCAACTGCCAATAAACAGGGTGACTGGACAGATGACTATGGCTGGGTCAGAGTCTGTAGGACCTCCCAGACCACTCCACTCACCCTCTGGGATGCTGTTTGCACCGTTTAGCAAGCAGCCTCACTCCCCGTCCCTGGTATTTCTTGCCCAGAGACTAGTGACTGTTGGGTGTCTGAGAGCTTGGGAGGAGAGAGAGGAGGCAGGCACAGATGCATGTGGCCAGGAACAGGCCACCAGTCAACCTTGACACAGGGCTGCCCACCTTCCTCCTAAAAATAACTCTCAGGGTTTCTTCTGATTTGGCACCAAGGAGTCCTAGGGCCATGTAGGAGCCACCCCACAGAAAGACAGCTGGCTTACCCTGGAGGGGTAGGAAAGAGGGGTGGGTACAAACACAGGCTCCAGGACAAAACAGCCCCAGATGCCAACCCCAGCTCTGTAGGCACTCGCTATGTCATTTTAGGCAAATCCTTAGCCACTCTGAGCCTCAGTTTCTTCACCTGTTATATGGGGATAAGAAATACCTACATGCTGGTGAGATAATGAATGTCAAGTCTAGCCCAGGGCTGTCCCTCACCTCCCTGAACTCCTGGCCCATGGTGCTCCCTGCCTACCCCAAAGTCTCAAATCATTTCTATTGCAGCTGCTGCAGCTGCTCCAGGCTGCCCAGTGCCTTTCTTCCAGGGGTATGAGCACTCTGTAAACCCATCTGACTAATCCTCCTAAAGCCAGTAGAGTCCTGTGATAGCAACGCTCGTTATGTGGGTTTTATCCCTTGCGTGGAGCCCCAACCTGCCCAGCGAGGCAGAGGTGGAGACAAACGGCAGTGAGTCAGCTGGGCCTCCTGGAGGTGGTGCAACGGGCCAGGCAGTGGGGCAGGGGTGTCAGGACCACAGGTCCACAAATCCTGTGCAGAAACAGGCCCCAAAGCCCAGAAGAAGATTCTTGGTTAGGGGCTCCCACTCCCAAACTCCTAAACTCCAACTTGTTGCTCCATGGCTTGGCAACCCTCACTGAGGAAGGACACTAATAGTCACTGAGAGTCTGCAGTGTACCAGGCATGAGAGCTG